AGAATCTTATCTAAAAACATATGATAATGCCAGATAATAATGTATGTTGACTCCGTACTTTGATGATAAGTAATTCAATTGATGAATTAAATTTTTTATTGAATATATATATATATATATATATGTATGTATATATATACATGTATATATATACATATACATATATATATATATATACATATATATATACACATAGTATATATATATGTGTATATATATATGTAACTCATTTAGTATAAAAACAACAAACATGCTGTGCTTCACTAACTCGAGCCACTGCAGCCGTTGGTTACAAGCTGATAAACTAAGAGGTTAATTGACAAAACTTGACATTGCAAATATCTGATTGCTCTGCTCATGGAAATAAATACAAGGCATGCAAATTGCCTGGGCAAACATGTTATCAACACATGTAGCAGTATCTGTCAACTCTTTGGGGGCAGAAAACCTTAGAGAAAGGAATAAGCACCTGATTGCAGTGGCATTGGGGAAAGAGATGATGAATTGGCATTGCAATTATCTGAGTGAGCAACATGCTACTGTCACCGTCCACCACAAGCCCCTTGGATGTCCTTGGAAAACATGCTTGAACAAGCTAAAGAAATGCTGGGCAAAGCAACTGCTGAATCAGCAGAATTTGATGTATCAAGGAGGCATCATGTCTCAACATTTACATGAAACACAGCAAGTTTCAGAATTTCCTGAGGTCCATGTTTCCCCCCAGAAGCATCAGGATGCATGCAGGCGGGTTCACACATACAACTTAGTGCAAGCTGATCCTGTGGTTACCTTGTGTACTCTGCCTGTAAAATAAATCTCAATATTAAACCCGGACAGAGAAAACAATATGAGGTCACAGTCACATAATATACAATGGATCTATCACTCACCACATTCAGACGCTGCTATTAACCATTTGCTACTTCTGATCTCTCATCACTGCCAAGAGAGTTGTTTGTAAGTAGATCTGTTTGCATCCCAACCTCCTTCAGGCTCCTTCCTCTTCAAACCCCCACCTGGCACTCCATACATTCTCACCTGCTCCTCCGTGAATGCTTGCGAGGTTGCAACTAAGAGTTGCCTAGATGCCAAGGGCAATCGCTCATCTTTTCCTTCCAAATCTGTGTTTCCAGGTCCTGCATTGAGATCAAGACCTGGTGCAATCCATTTCCGAGTGCTATCAGAATTACCCTCTGGAAGGCTTATCACGTAAGGCCTTGGATAACTAGATAAAATGGCTCCAGCTTGTCCAAAAAATGGTGAAGGAATGGTAGGGAAACCTGAACCAGCTCCAGATGAAGAATCAACAAAGGTTGTCGACCCACCTGAAAAAGAAGTTGATGCAAGTGGAAAATTGGACCCAAAAGCAAATCCAGCATATGGAAATGCTGTAGCAGGAGAAAATGCCATGGCTGTGGAGGATGAAAACATGGGACCCCTATAACCATCGCCACCAAAGGGGCCACTAGCAGTAACTGGCCCCAAAATTCTTTGGGCTCCTGGAGCTGCAACAATTGGGCAAGGCTGCTCTCCTCTATCAGTCAAGGAAGATGGTATAGACTGAGCAGGATATGAACTACCAGGGGGAAACCATGGTGATAAACTTCCCAAGTCAACAGTGTTCATTCTGATGCCTGCAACTGGAGGTACAAAAGGGATGCTTCTAGTGCATTTTGTATTTTGGTTCCCAGTTGTAGGAGCAGCACAAGCATCATCAAGACCTGGTCCACTATTTAAATCTAATTCCCTCGACATATTGGCCACCCGATTAGGGACTTCTCCTGATGCTGGTCCTACAGCCAAGAATGGCACCTCTAATCCATAGGTGGTGCTTGCTAATAACTGCCCATTTTCGGTGCCTTCATCGACTCTATTTAAGTCAAGATTAAGTCCCCCAGAAATCTGTGGGGTTGCTTCACGATTTATTACCGTCCCCAACTCAGAGCTGGAAGACTTAGCACAGTTCTGGACAGCCATGTCCTCAAGAACTCTCTCATCAGGTTCATTCAGATCAATATTGAGTTGACGGCGGCACTGCTTCCCTGCAGAAACAGATGGTGGCATCTCTGGAGCTTTTCGTGGTTCTGCTGGCCGAAAAGCACTAGTGGCAGCTGAGCCTTTCCATCCAGTCTCACCCTTGCTCTTTAATAAGTTTTGAGGTGGAACAAAAGGCCCTTTTGCTGGTGCAGCTACTGTGATTGGAGCAGGTGAGCTGTTAGACATCGCATTTGCAAAAGAAGACAGGCCGGGAAAAAAAATTGCAGACGAACACACTGTTGCAACTGAGACAGCAGTCTCATCTAGGTTTCCATCATCTCCAAGGATGCCCTCGTTCAAGTCAAAGTCAAGCTTATTGGCAATATCTGGCTCAGTTTTAACAGCCAATGAAGAAGCCTCTGCAGATAATGCAAGATCTGCCCTCACATCTGAATCAACCCCAGATAACCTCGAACCCGCAGGTTTTGCTTGATTCTCAGTTTCCTTGGCTTGACAACTGGACAATTGGTCTTCACTGGCTGATCTCTCTTGATGACGTTCATGTGTCTCCATCATTTTCAAGTCTTCAACAAGCCCAGCAGCATAAGAGGAGGTGGTTGCTGGTCTAACTGATTCATCAGCATTCTTAGAAAATGGAACATCAGAAGCACCCAATGTAATAACAGCATCACGACTCCTCTCCACAGAATCTATCATCACAGATCGTTGGTGGTCAGATGAGGTTGCAACCTCAAGTGCTTCTTCTGCTGAAGGACATGATTGAGATTCCTCAACAATCAGGTTTTCTGATTTAATACCTGAAGCAGAAATCTCAGGATCCTTGCAAGAAATTTCACAATTGCATATATTGCCACCTCCAATATTTTGAATGGCACATTCAATAGGAGGTTTGTTTTCATCTGCTGATGAGCTTCTTTCTTTAAGCTTGTATTCTGTATAGTGGTCCAAGACCTGTCCATCTGTCATCGGATTTTCGTCAAATGGAGTACCATCATCACCCTGCTTCTCCACTTCAGACGGTTTCAACACAAAAGGATGTCCATCTTTTTCTTCCTCAGGTTTACACTCCCTATGAGAGCTCATAGCTACAGTGGGAGATTGTTCAGCATGCTCGCTTGCTAATTTATTATACTGCAAAATGACATCAGTACAATTATTTCCTGAAAGCTCAGTCCCATCCTCATTTGAGACATCACTAATCAAGAAGGAACCAACACTCTTCACCTGCTTTTTGGAGTCTGCAAAAGCAGCTTCATCAGATTCAACATGACTCTGGGCCACAACATCATCATTTGACAACCTCGACTTGGTCTCTGTTGCAGGTGAATTTCCAGGTGAGACGGTGGGAGAAATTAACTCAGAATTGGAGATCTCTCCAGTTGCCACACTTGCAAGTAAATTCATCCCAACATCATCTTCAACAACCAAAGGAACACTAGCTTCAGAATATTTGATGCAACTTTCAATTAAGGCATTTATAGAACTAAAAGAACTTCTTGTGCTTGGTTCAGTCAAGAAAACTTCCTTTTCAGTTCCAGATGACGAACCAGCAGCTCCTGGAGCCTCTGTAGCACTTCGCATATCCTGAGCACTCATGTGTTCTTCATCGTGGATAGCTGCTAGTGATCTGACATCTCCAGCCCCTACTGGTGGTTCTTTGATATCATTGCTTTGCCATGCCTCTGTATTATCATTTTCCACAATATTAGACCGAAACACATCACCTCTTAGTTTCACTCTGAACTCACTGTGCTCATGCTTGTCCTGGACCCCAGGAGATGATGCTCTGTTGGCCAAAATAGATGGATCTTCAAAGGAACCTCCACTTACACTTTGAGCAGGGCTTTGAACATGGTTAGGAAGTTTTACAATAAGCCTGTGATTATTTCCACGATTAGCAACAGACATATCA